GTCGGAGACCAGCTCGGAGTAGGTCTGCTGCAGGGCAGGAGTGAGTCGACGATACATAGCTCCAGCATAATCGCTGACTTTGATCCTCGGCAGGCTGAGCTTCGGAATCCAGAGCTCTGCCACGTAGGTCTGGCCTGGAAAGTCAAGGCGCTCAACCGGAAACAAAGGACGAATCCGAGTACAGTATGACCCGGAGCAACCCACATCCAGCCAGCCACGAGCTGCAATAGACCTCCAGAGTGTATGTAACTCTGCCTCAACTTGAGGCGACAGACGCACAGTTACAGACCCGGCAAAGGTAGGTGCGAGTGGTAGTGCCGAGAAGTCGGAGGACTCCACCTTCTTCGTCAAGTTATCGGTAGTGTAGAAGAGACTCTCAGCCAGGGACGCTTCACGGACAGTCTGTACACATACATCAGGGATATGGTTGTTGGCATGCTGCTGAAGCGAGCCGTAAACTTGGCGGTCGGTGATCCATGCACCAGAAATGCCTGCACAGAGGATCTGCCAATGATCTATGAGATCCCGACCAATGAGACAATAAGGCGAACGTCGTTACTTGACGGGGCCGAATCAGCCAGTTGCAATGGCAGGAAACGAAAGGTATGGTCAACGTCGGCGAACCATTCTCGGACCGAAATGTCCCATACAGCTACCGATAGTTGGAGAAGAGCGTTGACTCGGATACAACGACCATCAGCTAATTGAACCTTTGCTGGGTTCGGGGCTGAAACCGAGTCGAATGGGAGATGGGACAAAGAGGTCGTCGATACCAAATAGGACGCACTGGCTCCGGTGTCGACGATACCAGTTACAGGAAGAGTGTGAGGACCTTGCGTAAGACGTAGATGCAAGGAAACCTCGGATAGCGGGAGCTGTTGCTGAGCACCGGGAAGTGAGCTGTTAAGACACAGAGCGTCGACAGGGACGCCAGAGCCAGAACAGGGATAAGGCTTGCCAGGAGAGGGCGAGATCAGCGGATTGACCGTCGCGGGAACAGACCGGACCATCTCAGGGGAGGTCGACGAAGGTGAAACAGGGAGCGATGTAGACTCATTAGGGCCGTCGTGGGAGTCGCCTACTGGCTCGCACGGCCGCGGAAGTTTTTTGACTTCGTGTTGGAGTCAGCATCGAACTGTTTGACCCGCGAATAGAGCTTACGATCAGTGAAGCTGTCCGTAGCAGCCGCCTCCCCAGCACCTTTGCTATCAAAAGACAGCAGGGCGTAACGCTGGCCACGACGGGATGTCATAAACTTCACCTCTGAAGCGGAACTCAGCCCTGGAGAGTTCGCTGGAGCCTTTTCAAGCTTCTCAACCCCAGGCCCTGTGATGAAGAGGACATAAGGCTGCTGGCGGGCCCACGACATAACATCACGGAACTCCTTCTTAGCGTCGGAGTTGGTAGAGTCAGTCGTATGCAGTAGCCGGTCACGGATGTCCTTGGAACCGGACTCACGGTCGGGAAGGCGAGCAGGCTTCCTAGCTTCCGAGACAACGGTAATAGACTGACAGATGTCACCGAGAATAGACAATATTGTCACCTCGTTAGCTTCACCATCAAACGGTAACCTCAACTGCCACTCCTTGGAGACACTCTCAGGTTCGAGCATTCTCGCGGTTTGAGCAACCTGTTGCACCAAGTCAGTGTAGATTTCAGATGGAAGGCACCGTAAGACGGAATTTATGAAGTGGACATCATCAGCCGACTGGGGGGTGCTCTTAGACTGATCGTGGCGAACACTCTTCGCTAGAATACGAAGGCGTCGAACATCGGCCACAAACGAGTCGAAAGAAGCAGCCCCACGGAAAGTGAGTTTACCAACCCTTCGTCGAAGTTCGCGTCGGACATTCTCGGGTCGGGAGAACTTGTCCAATAGAACGGTCATCACCCTATGCCAGTCTCCACCGGCTTCGTCCACTGCCGCATTCGCTTCGGCTATCACACCGTCATGGTCAACCAGGGTAGATATGAGCTTCTCGACAAGGTAAACCTCGATGTCGTCGTCTGGAGTGAACTTACCGTTGACAAAAGTAGCGAACCCAGATGCGACCAACAGTTGCTCCACTCGCTTGAAATGAGTAGGCAACAGGAAGGGGTCCTTCAACGCTTTACTGGCAACCGAAAGACGGTTCACATCGGCGATTCTGGTACGTAAGCTCGGCGGCTTCTGCAATGCCGAAGTAAGGGCCGTAACCAGAGTTGAGAGACCATCGTCCGAGGAGGAGGTAGTCGTAGATGTAGGGGGAATGACAGACTCTTTCATGAGCTCTGAGATCCTACAAGTAGCTTGGTCAGCTAACCTAGCTAGTGACTCGATAGCAATCTCAAGTTCTTCCTCCTTGGAATAAAGATCGGCAAGTTCGGCGTCGTTGGTACTCTCGTCGTCATCCAGGTTGAGACGTGTCTGGTTTCTGATTGCGACCAGCTCCTTCATCTTCCGGGTTCTCAAGCCGCGGACCGTTGCTCTGAGCTTGGCGATACTCTCACGATCGGGCGCGTTCTGGATGTCGTCAGCTGTCACCATGTTAGATCCGTAGTTGACAACGCAACCTCAGAGAGGACCGGATTGAAGGAGTCTAATTAATACAACCGAATCGACCATTAGGGTCGACGGTTTCGGATACGCATGCGGATATCTTGGCGAGCGATGATGGCAAAAATATATAAAATGCGAGCAATATATCAATCGTCATATACAATGTCATCATACACAACACCCACAGCTGAAAATTTACACGCGACTTAGGATTGAAAGGCACGATAACCAACAATAAACTCGCCGAAAATATCCTTGTTGTGATAAAAACGCGGCAATAACCTAATTTTCCATCACCTAGGGGACACATCGTGCCTCAGGCTGATCTCTCTCGTATCATTCGGAAATATACTTATTATTCTTTTTTCGAAAAATTCGGAAAATTTGTTTCCCGCGTCTACTGAGGAGGGCATTAAAGTGGAACAAGTTCATCGGGGAGAACCTAGCACCCCGCTTATTCGGAGTCCGCAAGACTCGTCTGAGTCCCGAGTACAACCTCTCGGGATCCTTAGTCAACCCCAACCCAGTATCACTCCTGGGTATGCGGCACCTAGCACCCCGCTTATTCGGAGTCCGCAAGACTCGTCTGAGTCCCGAGTACAACCTCTCGGGATCCTTAGTCAACCCCAACCCAGTATCACTCCTGGGTATGCGGCACCTAGCACCCCGCCTATTCGGAGTCCGCAAGACTCATCTGAGTCCCGA